TCACATAAAAAAACACCACGTTACATCTCCTGCTGTTTACTGTACCTACCTTCGGGAGATTCGCACTACAATATACTTTCAAGGAGCAAGCTCTTTCTCTGATCCTGCATGCTCCGCATCGTAAAGGCCCGTCCACTAGAGATGGTCAAATAGTCTGATATTCTTTCTTTTAAACACAACATACTTATATGATTTTATTTATCGAAATAAAGGAATAAATCTATATCTTTATCTTTTATATATAAAAATGGATTGCAAAATGTGTTGGTAAGCGCATAACTTAATAACGACGGGACCAATTTTGCTAATTCTATTTTTGTTATGTTCGTTGTTATAAGGAGAAGGTTCTTACGAGAGAAAACTTTAGAAAAGTAAAGGGGAATAGCGGTAATTTACAACCCTTTCGATGCCGTGGCCGTTCGCTTGCAAAACAAATGACTGCCACCATGGTAGTCGGGTACCTACCCGTGCGAAGCAGGGGCGGTCTGCTAGTCTATATAAATATAAATGAATCGCAAAATATGTTGGTAAGCGCATAACTCAATAACGCCTGGACCAATTCTACTGATTCTTTTTTTGCTATGTGTGTTATTGTTAGGAGAAGGTTCTTATGAAAGAAAATTTTAGAAAAGTAGAGGAGAATAGGGACTCTTTCATCGTAAGCGAGATGATGAGACCCGTGCGAAGCAGGGACGAGCTGCTAGTACCTAATGTTTAAAATTAAGTTAAAGAAATACCTACTTGTATATAAGATAGTTTAAGTAATTGTACTTACTTGGTACACAACGAACCTTGTAAAGCAATGACGCACGCCACGAAATTGTATTAAAATTATATTATGTAGTATCATTTTAATAATAATAAATAAATAATCACCCAACATCTCCCATATTTTTGAAACCCTTAAATATTTTTTATTATAACTTTCGTGAGAAATTCTAAATTAATTATACTATGTTTTCGGCTCTTGCTTCGGCGAATCGGCGACTGTCGCAACAGTCGCCGCTGCCCATGAATCTTTCGCCTCTAGCATGGCTTGAAACTAGTCGAGTATCTCGTCAAATTATTACGTGATTAAGCCGGAAACATAATAATTTAACCCTAAAATAAAGATTCAGGTAAACAGACCCGGTCGGCGAGTAAAGGCAGCTCGCTGCCCGAGCGTACGGCGCGTAGCGTTCCGCGCGCGCCTCAAAGAGCCATTAGACCACCACAGATGGGGCCCCATAGGGCTGATGTTCAGGCGGGGTTGCGGGGTAACCGCAATGAGGCACCGCGACCTCGGCACATAGCAGGAGAAGGAACCCGGCCCTGGGCGGGAGAAATCATTTGATGATTTTCCCCTCATCCTAGGTACATCCTAGGTACCTAATCATCTTTATCAAACCTGGTGATTAATACTCAAACCTTCTCCGTGTGAGAAAAGGCGAACCACAAGGCTGTGTGTTTCGCCGTGTGAGTGGGGTTACCGGTAATAAAGAATAATTGAATGCACATACAATTGATGAGAATGCACGAAGAGATTGGCGAATATAATTAGATATATCATGAAGCAAAATAGGTTTAAGTATTTGTTTTATCTTTGTTCAAAAAGAAAACGTTTCAACACACTAGGTTTCGCTCTTGTGTCGTAGGTGCGTTTACAAATATACAATTTTACATGCACATCAAACCCACATTTGGAATAACAATTTGTTAATCACATTAAGAGTTGTTCCGTGCGGGTATCGAACCAACCAGTTGCTTAGCCACCGCGCCAACCTGTGGCGCCAACCGTGCAGTCAAGGTATGCCAGCGTTATGTCATTTGACGTTTCATTGTCTATGCCTAGGTACTATAATGGAGGACAGGTGTGTATGTATGTATAGGATCGGGCGGGAAGCCAACACAAATTGTTGTTGTCTGAATAATTTGTTCAATTTTATTATTTAGGTACAATACAATACATAGTAGTATGAACTCATCTAATTCTGTGACTGGCCTAATTCGGTGATATTTAGTTTGAGCGCTATCATAGGGCTATACGAGTGAAATCAAAGGTTTCAAATACAACCTTAAGCCTCAGTGATTAATCTCGAATTCGTATGTAAATTTTGGTAATGCTCGAGTGACCGAGATAGAAACAGCTAACGGTTTTGTCAGTTTGGGCGCGAATTTCGACGGTTTCCGCAATGGTTGTGAATGGGTGGCTACTTTTTATTATTCACTGCAAATTCAAAAGGGAACAAGAATGAAAAATTGTAATTTCTTATTAATGCAAAAATCGTTGGTACTTATTCAATCTGTCTGCCGTTACATTTACTTACCATACCTGCACTTTGATAACTTGTGACTACGCCTTTCAGTACTTATTCCGAAAATCTTGTTTTATACTTTTTCAGCGTTGTTTTTTGTCGTAGTTGGGTTTTAGTTTTTATACTTTTTATTATTACTCTATGCAAAAATATCAATCGGCGCCATCCATGAACACCCGGAACACCAAAAGAGTTAGGTGCGATTGAGTTACGGGGTGACTTTTCGAGTAGTGGCCCCTTCGAATTTAAGCAGCGATTTGTTTTTTTATCTATACTAATATAATAAAGAGGTAACATTTGTAAGTTTGTATGTAGGAGGTAATCTTTGGAACCGCTGGTCGCATTGCCAAAATTCTTTCACTGATAGATAGCTACAATGTTCCTGACCGCTATAGGCTATAAAACATCACGCTACGATCAAATGGAGCTGAGCAGCAGGTGAAACCGTACGGTAGTAGCTAGTATGTGATGTTTCGGCAGATTACCTGATGGTAAGGAATTAGCGCCGCCCATGGACAACTGCAACGATGGAGGAGTTACGAGTGCGTTGCCGACCTTTTGGGGATTAGAGTTTTGGAGATTTTGGCAGGAGGGATAGGAGAGGGAAAGGATTGAGCCTCCTTCACTCACACGGCGAAACACAACGCCGTCATTGTTTCACGCCGGTTTTTTGTAAGGCCGTGGTATCACTCCAGTCGAGCCGAAGCATGGCTCTCTCACACTTTTCTTGGCTAAAGAATGCAAAGATCAATTCATGAGATTCAAAATGGACTCGTTTCTCCCTGTCTTCGAATCCCTAACCTCCCAAAATACACTTGCGACCTGGTGTTGCCATTGGCTGTGCTAATTGCTTACCATCAGGTGACCTGCTCGTTTGCTGCCCCATCTAAGTGCGTTGAGCATAAAGTCTGTTGGCTAGATGCATTAGGTTTTTTTTCTATAATTGATAAGGTTATCGACACTAAATCATTTCTGAAAATTTGGATGGTGGTTGCAAAATAACCCTGTATTTCGTCTTCAGGTCGCAACAGAAAATACTCGCAAAATCTGTCATGCCCACACTTAAAATTAGGTCTTGCCCACAACTAAAATTAGGTCTTGCCCACATTCAAAATTGCATCTTGCCCACATTTTAAAATTAGGTCTTGCCCACATTTAAAATTAGGTCTTGCCCACATTTAAAATTAGGTCTTGCCCACATTTAAAATTAGGTCTTGCCCACATTTAAAATTAGGTCTTGCCCACATTTAAAATTAGGTCTTGCCCACATTTAAAATCAGGTCTTGCCCACATTTAAAATTAGGTCTTGCCCACATTTAAAATTAGGTCTTGCCCACATTTAAAATTAGGTCTTGCCCACATTTAAAATTAGGTCTTGCCCGGCCACTAGCTAGACTGACTGATAACATCCCGTTTATTGCGACTGAGGCGCGGGCGGAATGCTACGCACGGGTCTGATTCTCTCGAGAGAAGTCATTTGATGATTTTCTCCTCACAAAAAATGGTGTCTAATTAAAATAAATGTTTTTGAATTTCGACTGTTCAGCACGAATCGGTCTTTCCCTTCCCCATCCCCAAAAGGCTGGCTGGCTATGCGCTTGGAACTTTGTTGGCATTGCGGAGTGTCTTGGGCTGCACACCGATTACTTAATTACCATCAGGTAATCCGTCAGTTCGTTACTACCTTATCTTAATTAAAAAAACAACTATACTACATACACGTGGAAAGTTTATAAATAAAACAAGGCTATAGTGTTTCATCATTTTAAATCTATTAGCGATAAGTTTCAAGCGATCTTCATTGGTTTTCTTTTTTTTCTTATGCGAATGTGTTCCGTAACCGTTTCTAATTTTAATAGACCGCTTAACTAGTTTAATTTCAAAATACTTGAGGCCACATTTCTCGCATTCGTAACGTTTTCCAACTTCGCATAACGTTTTTACAAACTCGTAATTCATTGAGGTCTTGTTACGGCAGAATGAGAAACATAGATCGCAAAGTGAGAGGATCTTCGACTCAAACATCCGTTTCCCTTCGATGTTTTCGTCGAAAAACTTTGGCAAATAGTCCAATTTTCCCTTGTCGTGTTTCCCTTCTATTGTTTCTTTGTGGAATGTTAAATAATGATGCCTCAAAACCTTTCGTCCACCTACTAGATACTGGTTACAAATGGCACATAAACTCAGTTGGGCATTTTCAATTTTTATATGCGTCGCTTCGTGGATTATTGCTTCGAATCTGAAATAATAATAATAATTTTACTAACAACAACTGCAGGATTCGTGTATGGGCAACCGGCTGACGTGCGAAGTGTCGCGGATTGCGTTCCTGTACAAAACAACTCTTTGTGTGATCCACAAATTGTTGTTCCGTGAGTTTGGAATTATATGTTTGTAAACGCACCCTCAGCATAGGAGAAAATTCAAGTGTCGGGCAACGTTTATTTTATAAGAAATATATATAAAAAGGCGCTTGTTTTTAAAGCAATGTGACTTTTTCTTGCGCAAGGGGACAATGATGATATATACATATATTATATGCTATAATATTCGTACATATAAACCTTCCTCTTCAATCACTATAAAAAAACCGCATCAAAAAGCCGTTGCCTAATTAAAGATTGAAGCATACATAAGGATATAGGGACAGAGAAAGCGACTTTGTTTTATACTATGTAGTGATTTCACTCAATAACTCACAAACACTCACCTCACAGGAAAACTTTTACTGCATTTCCTACATCTATACACCCCTGGCTTCATAAGCTCGTCATAATGTACACTAGTACTGGAACAATCTCCATTTTCTTTTAGCCATGGCGCGTTAAATAACTCTATGTTGACTTTACAATCAGTTGTGAGATCATTTAGGACTTGGGAACAGTCCACAGTAACTTCATCATCTTCGAAAACCAAACGACTTTTGATTGGCAGCCCATCATCAGGTACAAGGGTTTCAATAAACGAATTATCGCTAGAATTGTTATCATTTCTTTGTTTTACCTGTAATAAAAATTAAAAGATTACAAACATTTTATAATTGGGTAGTTTCCTAGGTCAAAAATAAATTAATTTGATGTTTCAATACAATAAGATATTGAAAAATAACTATACTTTTATTCATCGATCGATCGATACACCAAGTTTACGATTTTTTTAGCTAATTATTGTAAAATAAGTAAGCTAAATGACGCAAAAATGTTATGACGTTATAACTCAGTTTTTCATACAAATTTCATAGAAAAGTATCGTTTTTGACGTTTGGATAAAAGTATTGAATTTGACTAGTTGGAAACTACCGTATTTTTAAATGGGAGAGCCATGCTTTGGCACGACCCAATAGGGAACACTGCCTCACAGAATACGTACTTATTATGTTTTCGCTGTGTGACTGAGATTACCGGCCCCCAATCTCATCCCGTTTATTATTTAATCCTTATTAACAAGACAACAACGCGACGCACTTGTAGTATTTTTTTTGGTATTGCGCGAACGACGATGGACGATGGACGGCACCGATTGCTTATCAACAGGAAATCCTTCAGCTAGTTTGACGACTTGACCTGACCGATATGGGCGAACAGACAGATCACCTGAGGTTAAGCAATCAAGCGCCGTCCATGGACACCCTTGCGCTTTTTAGGGGTTAGGGACTTGAGGATGGAAGGCAGGAATAAAGTCTGGGCTTTGGTTTTTTTTTTATGTAATAGGTCGGCAAACGAGCAGACGGATTACCTGATGGTAAGCAATCAGCGCCGCCCATGGACACTCGCAACGGTGGAGTTACGAGTGCGTTGCCGACCTTTTAGGGATTAGGGATTTGGAGATTTAGGGATTGAGGAGGGATTGGGGAAGGGGGAAGGATTGGGCCTCCGGTAACCTCACTCACACGGCGAAACACAACGCTGTGGTTGTTTCACGCCGGTTTTCTGTGAGGCCGTGGTATCATTCCGGTCGAGCCGACCCATTCGTGCCGAAGCATGGCTCTCCCACACTTTGGTAACCCCAATCAGAGGACGAGTCAACAATAAATGTGGTTTCCGCCCGATTTCTGTGAGGCGGATGTATGACTGGTCGAGCCGGCGCACTTGTGTCGAAGTATGGCTTTCTCTCACATTTTAAGTAAGGTCAGCATAGCATTTATGGTCATACTAACTAATACACAAGTTGAGTAATTAGAGCTTATTATTTTTTTGCAACTTTTAAGTTCAATTTTTAAGGATACAGAATGGAGTCGCATGGGCAGGCAAGCTAGCAGTGGCGTGGGCACGTGAGAGAACGAACTTCCTCACTTCCTAGACAATACAGAAAACGCTCTGGACTTTGAGAATCTGGTGACTTACGCGATTGAAGGCTTAGTAATCAATCATTTGTAATAATTTATTCCAACTAAACCATAAATTAAGGTACTTTTGGGGCGTCTAAAATAAACCCTTAATAGTCTGCTTGTCAGTGAAGCTAGGTGCTTGTTCCAAACTTCCAAAGTGTAGATTCGAATAGAGAAGAACAAGCAAGATACTCCATTGTTAATCTAATATTTCTTTTACAAGTTCACAAATACATTATTGATTTACGTCTTTTTTTTTTTTGATTGACGCCCAAGGTAAGGCGAGAGAGTGTCAGACTTACTGTCTAAATCCCCCCCCCCCCCATATTCCTTCTCCTGCTCTGGGCCGAGGCTGAACATCAGCCCTATAGGGCCCCGACGCTACGGGTCGCTCGGGTCTGACTCTGGTTGGCAAGCTACCCTTACTAGCAACCCAAGACCCGCGCTTACGGTGACCGGAGATCGTCTCTCGATTAATTGACATCTTGACGTTCAAAAGTGGGTATTGTGTCTATTTGAAGTAAATGATTTTGACTTTTGACTTTGACTTTACACACACCCATAAGTGAGAACAATGCAAAGAACAAATTGTTAAAACAAACTACCACAAAGTTAAAGTTCGACGGGCCCATAATCTGCCGTCACTATTTGACACTGGCAGTATAGTCGACAACATTAAATTGGAGACTCGGTTGCCATAACGAAGAAGAAAAAAAAACGAATTGTTAAGAAAAAGAACAAATAATGGGATCAAACCCTCATCATTAAGTTTTTAAATCCTTCATCATCTCGAACATGATACTCCCATTATAACAAGATACATATAAATTAAAAATTTAAAAAAACCCCCGACACCAAAAACATAAGCTACAGGAGTTATGATGCCACAGACACATCAAACTTATTAAATTTTTTTTGTTTTTTGTGACATACAAGTCATAACCTTTCATCTGATACCCCACTTGTGCATATTTGCAGACATTCGGTATTTCCTCCCCACTTTAACCCCCCATAACTTTTAAAAGGCTCAATCGATTTTCATCAAACATGTCTAAGAACACTCACCCGTAAAATAACTGTTATACAAAAAAAAACTAAATTGAAATCGGCTCATTCGTTCAGGAGCTATGATGCCACAGACAGACAGACACGTCAATCTTATAATACCCCGCTTTTTGTGTCGGGGGTTAAAAAGCATTTGACTACATTTTATCAATAAAAACTGTAATTAAAAATATACTTACACTTGTGATATTAGCTATCTGAAGTTCCGTATTACTTAATTCACTATTGTTGACTAGAAAATTGGTTATAGGCACATCGGGATGTTTATTCACCGTGTGCGAAAATAAATCTGTCTTGCTTGTGAAACAGTGTAGGCATTCAGTACATTGTAATATATTTTGTTTAAGTAGCGGTATAATTATATGCTTGACATTATGTATTAAACTTGAATACCTGTAACAGACAATTTTGGATTAAAACCTGACCTAATCTATATCTATATTAATATTATAAATGCGAAAGCAACTCTGTCATTTCTTCAAGCGGAAACTACTGAACCTTTTTATGTGAACTTTGGTACAGACAAAGTTTGGAACTCGAGAATGGACATAGGATTTTTTTCATTTTTTCATTTATATATATATTTTTTTCATGGCTTAATAATATAATTACTAATTTAATATAAATTTAATTTGTCTAGTATTTGAGATATTATCTGTGTTTATGTTTTCTGTAGGTTCCGGTGAGGTTCTTGGCTCAGCCTACGATAATAATATTATTTTACGTAGTCACTTAATGGTGGAAGCTTGTTGTTAGCAAATTAGAAATTTATTAAGTTATTATTATTATAATTAGTCTGTAAGCTTTCCTTAGAATAAATAATTATAAATATAAATAGTTTTTATACTAAAAATCTGCAAGAAGTCACTATTCCACGCGAACAGAGTCGCGGGCAAAAGCTAGTCTAGATCTATTTGTGCTCTATTTTTGGAGAGGGTAATGGCAACACATTTGTTATTCCTCTGCTGCGGGTTTCCAAGGGCGACGCTGATTGCTTACCATCAGGTAATCTGTCTGCTTGTTTGCCGATCTAATACATAAAAAAAACTGGCCACCATTTTAAGAATAAAATCAGTGGGCAATGCATTAATTAGAGGTCGATGTTGGAAATAAAAATTTTAATTAAACAGGAACATAGTCGGCCTTATTAGAAAACAAGGTTTTACTTTAGTCTAGGACTAAACCATTGAGCCAGTTTTTGTATTTCGAATTGAAGTTAGATGAGAATAAGATTCAAAATTCAAAACCCGACTCAATGGTTTAAACCTGGACTAAAGATAAATCTTGTTTTGTAATAAGGGGGATAAGGTCCAGTTTATCTTATTAGCCAGTGAGTTTGACACCCTCTTTCAATCCACTCAGAGTGGTAAAAGTTACTGAAAGATTTCTCCGCCTTACAAAAAGATTGATTCACCAAATATACCAACACATTTTTAAGGAAATAAGAGCCATGAGCTTTCAGAACACCTGATAGTAAGCAATCAATGTTGGCCATTGCCACCTGCTATACCAAAGAAGTCACAACTGTGTTGGTGGCCTATTAAGAAGGATTTCATTATTTTCTTGATGATTAAGAGGTCATGTATTTGTGTAAACTTACCTATCCTTCGAGATTCTGTCGCAGAATTCGCATGCTTCAGGATAATGTTTCCGTAAACTCTCATATGAGTTAGGATCCTTGGTACCGATGATCTTCACCATCTTCAATGGTACATCATCGTCGCTATCGCTGCTAATACTAATCGCTTTGCCCCTCATTTTTATTGCTGAAATGAGAAAATTATTATGTTATTATCAAATCATCAGACTGTGTGCTCACTGCTGTGCAAAGGCCTCTTTCAAAGAGGTTTGAGCACTAATCACTATGGTTACTCAAGACAGATTGTTGATTTCAAATTTAGAATCAGATATAAGTCCTGGTTGGCTCAGGATGTTTTCTTTAACCCCTTATATAGAGTGCAGATATACGCGAGACACAATCTGTTTTCTTTTGTGTCTCATATACTGGCAGACAAAAGGTTAACCATAGTTTAGTGATGACCGATACACTAAGAGAAATTATGATCTATATAACCCAGAATCACATTAGTACTACTCAATACTTAAGCCAGGTTTTATAGCCGCCTGTAGCCTCTGTAGGTTTTCCATCCTCATGTATTAGAAAGGCGTGCCTCAACCTCAGTGTAACAATGACCGCAAACTTACACTTATATAGATAAGTGTTGTATTATGTGCATTCAACTATTCATTCCAACTTATTTACGAAATACGGACGTATTCCGAAGTTTCCCATCTATTTACATACGTTCAAGGAACTAAGGAGGTTCTGTATTTAAGTTTAAAGCTCATAATTAAGCGTTAAACTCGTTTAAATAGGCAGGTAATGGTATTGATCATGTATTGATTGAATTAACGTCATATACACGGAATTACTACGACTATTCGTACAAATTTTATAACGTAAAAGAAGATTTTGTTATAATTATGATAGTTACAAAGCTGCTTATTACTTGCCTTATATTTTGTTGATACAGGCATATAAAAATTAATGAAGAAAACTCGGACAGACAGTGAATAATGAAAAACTAAAACTATATTTACCTTTTTCGAAATTGTAACCTCAATTTAAGCTAACGGATTTTCCGAATTTAATAAATAAAACATAGTAATATCATTAAATATTTAATAAATAGACACCGTATCCTAAATAACACCAATTTAACTAATTAATAAGACAGAAAACTACATTTCTTGAATTTCTTACGCTTCACTGACTCGATCAGTTTTCCATTTTTTGTCTTTGACGTTTCAGTTTTTTTCTCAATTCGTCTACAACTTTTACCATAGACTATCCTTACTACGTTTTGTTATGAGAAAGACTACTATAGTTTACAGTTTACAAACAACCCAAGACCGAGAGGTACGACCGAAGAAGTAACCGGTAAGAACCCTGTGATATTTTACAAATAGAAACTACTGAATAGTCACTAAAGCTGTAAAGTACTATAATATTTATGTACTCTAGAAGACATTGCTAGACCAGCTCTTCTAAAAATCAAAACGTAATTACAGAACCGTCATCCTTTGTACTTTATTCGTCTATGGCTGTCAATTGTCAATTCAGTTTTGACAGCTCTATGTCACGTCATATTTTGATTGTTTCTCCAAGGAATCGGCAAAATATTTTGATAAATAAAATACTAATTTTCAAAGTAATTTACTAAAGTTACTTACAAGAAAATGGTAACTATTAAACGTTTATTATCCTTACTTCAATGTGTACTTAATTTTTTCTATCATAACGTTATTAATTTAAAAGAATATCCTTTTTTAACAAAAAGTTGTCTCAGTTGTTTTGTTATCTTTTTTTAAGGATTTAAAAACCTTTGGTGAGGATAATTTTGATCCTAAACAGTGGATAAATAAAGCATGGAGCTCCAGTGGTAACCAGGAAAAGGAGGTATGTCCTTTTTTTGAATTATTTAAGTGAACACAAAGTTTAGTAAGAATGATTTTCAAAAACCTCAATCAACACGGAACCTGTTATTGATCGATTGATCCCATTGGCTGTATTTTTACAACCCCCTTTTTTATCTTCACGCATATATATTTACAATATTCTATTAAATTATTTAATGGTGGAATACAATTGTAAAAGTAAAGTGTACTTTTATCTTTGGAAACGAATAATGCCAGGCCAGCTTGATGTTGTTCTTTTTTATACATAATTTTGATATGCTGTTTTTAAGGACTATTTGCAAAAACAAATTCTTTACTTCAATGGTAGAGTTTCTTGCAAATTCTTCTGTATTCAAATCTACATTATAAAAAAGCTAAAATCATTTTAAAAGTATGATTTTGCTGGATTTGCTTCCAAAGTCAAAAGACAAAGTCAATTAATTTATTCCAAATAAACCACAACAGCACTTATTAATGTAAAATAAAAAATAAAATAAAATATAAAAAAGTATAATTAATATTTTTAAAAAATATTTTAATAAAATAGAAAAAAGGTTGCGGGTACGCTCGAAACAGCAAAGTTGCATTAATTTGTGCTTGTACAAATATATTTTTTAAAATTAATAAACAGTGGTGTAACGTTTAAAATCAAAAGCATAAACTATCTGTGTCACATATACTTTAATTGTGGTAATTGGGCTTCGTAGGTAGTGGTGAAGGACATAGGTGTTTTTGTCAGTGCCACGAGGTTTTTTTTCAACTTAAATATTATTTTATTGAATTATAAGTTGAAACCACCTCTGTGTTGTGATTGTCCAATATTTGTTTTAAAAAACTATTGGTAAGGTGAGTAAAATTTCCCCTAATACTAAGAGTATTTAATTTTATTTGTTTTTAATATGGAGGCTAAAAAACCTCCCGACCCTCCAGATAAACTATTCGAGTACACCCCTGTAATGACTGTTACCCTCCCCAACCCCGGAAATGATGCCATGGATGCAGAAAATATTTCAAATAGAAAAAGACCTGCACAATCTCCCCCAGTTACTGTAATTAACCCACCCAAAGTGGCAAAAGTTAACGGAAGGCAGTGCTACACACCCAATGATGCTCCACCGTATATTGTTCATGTTGCTTTGAGAGATTCGCAAACCTCAGGCACAACCCTACACCCTGTGAAATTTGGCATGTTCTTAATGAAGAACAACATAAACAATGTACGGATGGATGGTGTCAAAAGATTAGGACGAAATAAAATTTCAGTGGAATTTAAGTCACACCAAGACGCTAACAGCTTCTTAATTAATGGAGTTGTAGCCCAACATAATTATATAACTTCCATTCCACTGTTTAACATAACACGTATGGGTATTGTTAGAGATGTCCCCGTAGACTGGACTGAGGAGGAAATTGTTGAAAATATCAGGGTCCCCTCTGGATGTGGCAATGTTATCAAGGCAAGGAGAATGAACCGAAAAGTTGTTTCCTCTGATGGTTCAGAGTGGAAACCTACACAAACGGTTGTCCTCACATTTGACGGTCAAATTTTGCCAAAACGAGTTTACTGTTTTTACACTGCTCTTACAGTAGAAAGGTACACATATCCCACGGTACAATGTTTTAACTGCTGCCGCTTTGGACACACACGTACCTTATGCCGCTCAAAGCCTCGTTGCTTCAGATGTGGTCAGGACCATCCTGGTGATGGTTGTCTGGTTTCAGATGACATTGCAACCTGTGTCAATTGTCATGGCAATCACTTTGCCAATAGCAAAGGTTGCCCTGAGCTAGGCCGTCAGAGGAGTATAAAGGCCCTCATGGCGGAAAAATCCATATCATATGCAGAAGCGAGTCAGGTCTTTCCCACCATCAAGAGGTCATATGCAGAGGTTTCAAAATCTTTACAACAACCTAAACCCAAACTGCCCCAACATAATAATAATACTCCCCAAACTCCCAAATCTTACCGTAAAACTGTCTTTTTAAAACCTAAATCCCATGCCCCTCTGACTCCTAGTTATGATAAGCAAGCTCACCGAGCTCTTATCCATAACTATTCCTTTTCCCCTTCACAAAATGGTTGCGCCTACCCTTTGGAGGGTGAAAACAACCGTAACCCTAAAAATGTTTTAAATCTCATCACTAATATGCTTATGGCAGTATTAGAAAATCCTACACAAAACATACCTGACCACGTTGCCGTTAAACTGTCCAACATTCTACAATATATTGGTAACATTCCATCCCCTAACATTCCTTCAATGGAACGCGAGGAGTATTCTTCCGAAGAAAACTGACCTACTCCATTTAATAAATAGGTACAAACCTCTGGTGTGTGGCATTGCTGAGACATGGCTTAGTCCGGATTTCCGGGTGCCGGGTTTTAGCAGTGTCAGGTATGATAGACCAGATGGTTATGGAGGCTGTGCTTTGTTTATTAATAGCAAAGTACCGTACTCTAATATTCCTCTACCCTTTGTTAGTGATGACATAAATGTTGTTGCTGTTAAGGTTGAGGATATAAACATTTTTGCTTTTTATATTGCACACCCACACATTAGTCATTTACAGTCAATTAAAAATTTTTTAAATACTGTTAGGGGCCCAGTACTAGTAATGGGTGATTTTAATTGTCATCATTACAGATGGGGTTCAGACATGTGTGACAGTATAGGCACAGAATTATTAGAGATCATAGACGAGCTTAATCTATGTATCATAAATGATGGCAGTGCTACACGAAGGTCTGCATTTGGCCAAAGGAACAGCTGCGTCGACTTGACCTTTTGTTCTCCTAACATAGCTAGCATGCTGGACTGGAGGCGCTTGGATCTGTCCTATGGTAGTGATCACTATCCCATCATAGTCACAAACCACTCCATTCCCACCCTTGATAAATTCCTCCCTCCATTATTAAAATACCGCTTAGAATCAGCGGACTGGGATCTTTATTCCAAACTGCTAGATTTCCGTATCTCCTCCCTTCCACATATCCATGCTGGGAACGCTCCAGAATGCTTCTCCGGCTTCTCGGAAACAATATCTACCACAGCTGCAGATTGTTTCCCAACCAAAAATCCGCCGAAAGGCAAAATTCCTCTCCCGCCGTGGTGGGATAGTGACTGCACTGCCGTGATTAGGGCCAGGAATGAAGCTGAAAAGACGTATAACCGTGACATGAGCCTGGGTAATCTCATATCTTTCAAGCAAATATTGGCAAGGTCAAGGAAACTACTGAAAAAAAGAAACGACAAGGCTGGCGAAAATTTTGCAGTGCCTTGAATCCATCGACTCCAATAACCACTGTCTGGCGAAAAGTCAAAAGTTTCAGAAACTCCACAAGACCACCTTCTGTTCCCATGTTACCAGAAAATCTGTGCCACCGTTTCTTTTCAAGCGTTGCTCCCTCATATGTCCCTGGAGAGGAAGAGTGCGAATTAGGGAACTTAACACGGACTCGTGATCCTCTTGACGTAGCGTTCTCTATAGAAGAACTTGAAACAGTTCTGAACCATGTCAAGGACTCTGCTCCTGGAATAGATGGTTTCCCGTACTCATTTTTGACTAAAAGTGGAGCAAAAACACGGCGGTACTACCTTGACTTGGCCAATTTTTGTTTCACTTCCGGTTACATTCCCACAGCATGGAAGGTTCAGGTTATTATGCCTCTACTGAAACCTGGCAAAGACTCTAGTGATCACTTGTCTTATAGACCGATTGCACTGTCGTCCATACTCCTCAAAGTATTTGAACATTTAATAAAGAACCGTTTAGAGTGGTTGGTGGAGAGCCGGGAGCTGCTTCCGGCGACTCAGTTCGGCTTTAGAAAAGGTCTGGGCACCGTTGATAGTGTGGGTACCCTCACTTCAGCGATACGGCTGGCTCTTTGCAGGGATGAGTCGTTGGTGGCCGTCTTCCTGGATATCTCATCAGCCTATGATTCCGTACTCCTACCCCTTCTCAGGCAGAAAATGCAACAGCTGAAAATTCCGAGTGGGATTATACGAATTATTTGCTGCCTTTTCACCAACCGCATCCTTCAATTAAGAACTCCTGAGGAGACCCCTGCACGGCGGATTGCCTGGAGGGGCTTACCTCAGGGATCAATCCTCAGTCCTATCCTCTACAACATATATACCTTTGATCTCCCTTCTTGCTTAAACTTTGATTGTAAATCTCTCCAGTATGCTGACGATATTGCACTGATGGTCTCCAGTCACTCTATAGTCGATGCCGCATCATCTATGAATGTCTCTTTGGCTTCATTAAACCAATGGCTTCTTGATCATGGACTATCTTTGAGTGCTCCAAAGAGCTCTGCTGTTGTGTTTACACGTAGACGTCGTACCCCAGATCTAAATATAAATATTAACGGTCAGACTATTCCAATTACGGCGAAGGCCAAATTTCTAGGAGTTACCCTCGATTCCAAGATGTCAGGAGTCGATCATATTGACACGGTAGTTAAAAAAACTGAACGTACCGTATGTATCCTCCAAGCTCTAGCCGGAGTATGGTGGGGTGCCCATCCATGCACTTTAAAGCTGGTTTATAATGCTTTGGTTAGGAGTGTGTTAGATTACTGCTGTTTCCTTATTATACCTTGTAATAAGGAAGCACTGCGAAGGCTGGATTCCATCCAAGCCAAATGCCTTAGGACTATCATTGGAGCAATGAAATCATCACCCATAAATGCCCTACAAGTGGAATGTGCTGAACCACCTCTTGATCTTCGACGGCAGTACCTCGCAGACCGTTTCATATCCAAAGTCCTCTCCCGCTCATCCCATCCTCTACTTCCCATTTTGGATCAAATCCTCCTCTCCTATGATTCTTCTTCCTACTGGCTCCACAAACCTATACCCCCGGTGATTGTCAGATTCAGAGAGCTTAAAAAACTTTCGGCTTCTGTCAGCCAATCCCCAATTCTCCCTGTATTCTCTTCTGCATACGAAGCCATCCATTTCAAACCAAAGCTTGTTCTGGGGCTTGGTATTTCAA